ATTATGGAACACCTGCTGGGTGCCAAATGCTCTAGGAAATGTAACGAATAACAAAATGTTCTCTGTGCCCAAGAGCTTACCCACTGGTAACAGAAGTAGGCTAGGTCCAAAAATATCATTAAATCCAGTGTGGAGACAACACATGCATTGATGCTGATGACATGTGGTAGATATCAGAGAAGGAAGAATGTGGCTGTTGCATAATAAATCATTGCATGAAGTAGCACTCTCAGATGCTCCTGAGGCAGAAGACTCTGCCCATGGCAAGGATGTGTCCCTTCATTTTATCTGCCACTGTCTTGAGAACCTAGGAATCCTAGAGAAAACACAAACAGACTGGATTTTAATATAAGTATTTGTTTACATGAATTAATGAACGGTGATTCTTAAGAATATTGACTGGTCCTCGGGAATAAACCAATTAGAAAATTTGGTCATCATTGCATTTGTCACTTACTTGATCACTGGGATCCCATTTTTCTACAGAATGCCATGGAAGAGATGGGGCTGCTACTGTGGAAGAGCATTTAATGCATATTCTAAGCATCAGATTATAATGTTTTGGTTTGTAGCAGAAAATCTGTGGAGCTATGAAATATTAGGTTGCTCTAGTTCACACAGACCCCTCTATACATCCCATTTAAAGAAATGTAAAGGGAAGGGTTGTAGGGACTAAAAAGAATCAAATAAAGATTAAACGTCAAACTCCTTCTATCCCAACTCCTCTGTCTTCACTACTGGAGTCAAGATTAGAAAATATCAATAATCAGGCTGGGTGTGGTGGCTCATACCTGTAATCCCAGCACTTTGGGACACTAAGGCAAGGGATCACTTGAGACCAAGAGTTGTAGAATAGCCTGGGCAACATAGTAAGACCCTGTTTCTACAGAATTTTTTTCTTTTTGAGACAGAGTCTCACTTCATTGCATTGGGTAGAGTACCATTGCATCATGATAGGACACCGCAACCTCAAATTCTTGGGCTCAAGCGATCCTCTTGCCTCAGCCTCCCAAGTAGCTGAAACTACAGGAGCCTACCACAACACCTAGATAGTTTTTCTAGTTTTAGTAGAGACAGGGGGTCTCGTTCTTACTCAGGCTGGTCTCAAACTCCTGAACTCAAGCAATCCACCAGCCTCCTAGAGTGCTAGAATTATAGACATGAGCCACAGCCTACAAAAAAAATTTTTCTTTTAATTAGCCAGTCATGGTGATATGTGCCTATAGTTCCAGCTAGTCAAAAGGCTGATGTGGGATGATCACTTGAGCCAAGGAATTAGAGGTTACAGTAAGATGACTGGGTGACAGAGAGAGAGAGAGAGACCCTGTTTCTAAAAACAGAAATAAGAAAGAAAAACCTCAAATATCTACTGTTATTCAATTATAAAAGTAACTCATTATTTGAAAATTTATGGGTTTATAAAACACAGAAAGTGAAAAAAATTCTCTTCAGCTGGGAGAGTTGGCTCACACCTATAATCTTAGCACTCTTGGGAGGCTGAGGCAGGTGCATCCCCTGAGCTCATGAGTTTGAGACCAGCCTAAGTTAGAGTGAGAGCCCCCCCCCCTAAAAATAGTCAGGTGTTGTGTCAGGTGCCTGTAAGCCCAGCTACTTGGAAGGCTGAGGCAAGAGAATCACTTGAGCCCAGGAGTCTAAGGTTGCTGTGAGCTATGTGCGGCACTCTACCAGGGGCAACAAAGTGAGACTGTCTCAAAAAAAAGAAAAAGAAAAAATTCCCTTCAATCCTACTCCTTACAGATACCATTAACCTATGTTGAATATTCCTCCAGTTATTTTTAAAGTGACATCATACAGATTGCTTTTTAACTTGCCTTTTCACTTAATTTATCTCTTTTTAATGGTTTCATTAGATTCCAATGTATAAATATATCATTTAACCAAGTTTTTGACATTTCAAACAAAGCTATCCCATCTCTGTAGTTTTCATCAGAGTAAGTTCTGAAAAGTGAACATGTTACAAAGTTTATAAACATTTTGCTTTTTAAAATAGTGCCATCTTGCCCTCTTAAATAGCCAAGAACATTGCTATATGAACACTGCTTTCAGAACATTAAATATTACTTTTGTAATTGTTATTGTTCTAGTATTTTAAATTGCATTTATTGATTCTATGCAACGACTACTTTTGCATGTTAAAGGACATTTGCAGATCTATACGTTGTTTATACCCTCAGGTAAGTTCTAATATTTCAAATCCATTTATGATATCCATTATGACATCAGTTTTTAAAAACAGGATGTCATCAACTTAAAAAAATAACTTTTTCAACTTTTTTTTCATTTTAAACTTTTGTTTTTAGTTACAAAACTGAAGTGACACAATCCAAAAAATTATTTTACTCACCTCTATTTTCAGCCCAAACTCATGAGTCACCATTTTTAGTCTAGTGTGTATCCTTCAATACAAACATACAGGGTGTTTTCTGTTTGTTCTAAAAATATGCATTATATACGTAACTCTGAAATTTTTTATTAATTTAATATCTTATGGCCATCCCTCCAGATTGACATATAGTTCTAATCCATTCCTCTGATGTAATTTCTGCAAGTATCCATGTGCCTGTTTATTCAATTATTTCCTTACTGATGTCACATACATGCATTTTGTTTCCACTTTTTCTGACTACAAAGAATTTACAAGAAATTCCTAGAGACCAGATTCACAGAGATCATGAAGGTCAAAGAATATATACCCGTACTTTCAATTTTAATATATTGCAAATGAGTGTACACACCACACTACCAGCAAAGGAAGTGCCTATTACTCCAGTTTCTTCGTTGCTTCACAAGTGAAAAAGGTAATCCCTTTTAAAGTAGTAATCTTGACCAGAAGTGTAGTTAAGCATCTTTTCAAATGTTAATGACCAATTAGTTTTTCTCCTCAGTGCAATGGCTGTTCTTATCTTTTACCTCTGTCTTTTGTCAGCTGGCTGGGCTTCTTTTTGTGCTGGGAATGTCTGATTCTTTGTGCATCTTATTTTTTACAGTTATTTTCCTGTCTATTACTCGCATGACTTTCTTTTTTTTTTTTTTTTTTTTTTTGAGACAGAGCCTCAAGCTGTCCCCCTGGGTAGAGTGCCGTGGCATTACAGCTCACAGCAACCTCCAACTCCTGGGCTCAAGCGAGTCTCCTGCCTCCACCTCCCAAGTAGCTGGGACCACAGGCGCCCGCCACAACGCCCGGCTATTTTTTGGTTGCAGCCGTCATTGTTGTTTGGCGGGTCCGGGCTGGGGATTCGAACCTGCCACCTTAGGTGTACATGGCTGGCGCCTTAGCCGGTTGAGCTATAGGTGCCGAGCCGCATGACTTTCTTAATAGTATTTTTTTAAAGTTTTTTTTTTTTTTTAAGAGACAGAGTCTCACTTTGTCGCCCTCGGTAGAGTGCCGTGGCAGCGTCACAGCTCACAGCAACATCCAACTCCTGGGCTTAGGTGATTTTCTTGCCTCAGCCTCCCGAGTAGCTGGGACTACAGGTGTTAAATAAATTTTAATGTCTGGAAAAGCTGGCATTTCTGATTTTTCAAGAATTTTTTTTGCCAGTTTTTAAATTCCTTTTCTCTTTCCTTTTTTTTCTTTTGAGACACTGTCTCACTATGTCGCTCTTGGTAGAGTGCCGTAGCGTCACAGCTCACAGTGACCTCAAACTCTTACGGCTTAAGTGATTGTCTTGCCTCAGCCTCCCAGGTAGCTGGGACTACACGCGCTCAGTGCAATGTCCGGCTATTTTTTGGTTGCAGTTGTCATTGTTATTCAGCAAGCCCAAGCTGGGCTTGAACTCGCCAGCCTAAATGTGGCCAGAGCCCTACTCACTGAGCTACAGGCCCTGCCCCTTTTCTTTTTATATTCCTTTAGTTTTAATATATTTTCAGTCGTAGTTAAGTGAACTATAATTAAAGTTGGGGAAAAGCATTCATTTATATTTTTACTTTTGTCATCTTGCATAGAGTTACAAGGCCGTCCCTGCCTATAGAATGTCCCAACCTTGATAAACGCCCTCACTGGGGAATGAACCCAAACGCAGTGTTCAGCCGCCATGGGAGGCTGACATTAAGAAAGGAAACAGAGGCAGGTGGGAGCCCGGCCTGGGCCTGCTAAACAACAATAACTGCAACAAAAAAATAGCCGGGCGTTGTGGCCGGCGCCTGCAGTCCCAGCTACTCGGGAGGCTGAGGCAAGAGAATCCCTTAAGCCCAAGAGTTTGAGGTTCCTGCGAGCTATGACGCCACGGCACTCTACCGAAGGCAACAAAGTGAGACTCTGTCTCAAAACAAACAAAAAGAAAGGAAACAGACACAGTCCGAGGACTACCAGGATCTCGTAGAAACGAAAGAATGGCCAGTCCAGACAGCAGTGTATAATTTGGCAAGCTGGAACGAGAGAAGGTTCCCATTCCTCTGACCATTGGACCTCCTGCACAAAGGAATGGTAGGGAAGTCCCTAGAGTAGGGCGGAATCCCATGCTAACTACACGTCCACTACCTCCGCAGTCCCCTAACCAGCCGGATGCTGCAACGGAAACTGCGGTGGTGGCCTTGCACAATCCTTCCGGTCAAAAAGACAGACGACTTCCGCTCACTCCTTGGCCCTGCCCCGCCCCAACCGCAGCTCCTGACGATCTTTCATTGGCTGTTTGATGCCAACTACACTTCCCAGCAGGCTATAGAGCTAGGGTGGTGGCCTCTGGAGTGCTGGTAGTCCGTCCTGCAAGACGGGAACTAGTGTACTGCTTTCTGTCTCCCAAACAGAGCCTCAGAGAGAGCTGCCATCACTAGCCTGGCCTCTCTCCACGGCTGAGAGCTCCGCAGGCCGTTCTCGAGCCTTGCTGTCTGAACATAGACTGCTCGCTCCGAGCGGGGAGACCAGGCTTCCGCACCGGAAACAAAGCACTGGTCGTGAGGTCACGGCCGCAGAGGCATCCGGCCTCCCAGAAAGCACCGCGTCAGGGTCGTCCTCCTCTGCGCGCGCGAATAATTGCCGGCTTTCTGTGAGGACACTCCGAAGGGCGAGGGGCGGGCTTGGCCCTCTGTTATCTAGCTTTCCGTTTTCTCCCGGAGCCTGGGTATGTGAGCTGTCCCTAGGGAACGCTCAGGAGTGGCAGAAGTCTCAAAAGATCAGAGACTTTGCGAGGGTGGGAACCCGGTTGAAGCGGCCTTTAGGGAGATCGGAGGGTGGTCCGTTACTGGGGAGGCAAGGCCAGGTAGGTGGTCTACCGCGCACTCCGAGCAGTGCCACTGGCTGGGATTTGCGGTAAAGGTGTCCCTTGGCCGGTGGGAGAGGCTTCAGAGTGGGCTTGGACTGGAAGAGTGGGATGTCCCTTGCCTCTCTCAACAGGACTTTGAGGCCATATGGGAATAAGGAGGTCACGTGTGGACGCCTCATGCGGCCTTGTAGTCGTTCCCTTGGGGAGTCGTCAGCTGCCCCCCGAAGGACACCTGAGGGAGCTTCTGCCTGAGTGGCACATTGTGGTCAGATTCAATGACCAACCTGCTTCTAAACAGATGGCCCTGGAATTGGACCCCAGATTTTTCTCTTAGCGGATTGCTCTTTTGACAGATATAAGTTAAACTGCTGTACCCACAGGGGTCTGCATTTCGTACTTTCTAGAAGGCTGACCCTTGATCCAATGGCTGGCTGTCATTTCTTCCTTCTCTTTGGCCCTTGAAATTTGGACAGCCTTTGGTTTTTATTCTCAGGATCTTTCTTTCAGCCTTCCTAAGAGTATCCTGTTCAGGACTTTCTGTTTGGGTTGTTATTTCCCTACTGCTTTTCCTTTCTCACTTATATTTCAGGTGGTCTTACTGCCCAAGCCACATATTGAAGTGCATTCAGGTCCTGCTTGGTCTTGTGGGTAATCCATGGTTTCTTTGTTTGCAGCTTGACTATCTGGCAGATTTCTTTCAGTAAGACGTGGTTCTGGAAACCCCCAGAAACGTGTGTGGACTGTGGTTACAAAGCATGATGACTGCAAAAGTCGTTCCTAGGCCTCCAAAGCCAAAGCAGTCCTTTATATTGAGAGTTCCACCAGATTCCAAGCTGGGCCAAGACCTACTTCGAGATGCTACTAGTGGGCCCAAGACCATCCACCAGCTAGTTCTGGAGCACTTTCTTACTTTCTTGCCTAAGCCAAACCTGGCCCAGCCCAGTCAGAAAGTCAAGGAGACCTTGGTTATCATGAAGGATGTGAGCTCAAGCCTTCAGAACAGAGGTGAGAACTCTCTATTTATTCCACTAGAAGAGAAAGAGGTAGGATTGGTTGAGGTAGGCATCCATGTTAATAATGAATTCAAGTTAGGATAGTGTTTATTGAAAAAGGAGTCAGTTT